TGTAAGGTTGCTCTATCTAGTTCAGGCGAAGGTTCAGCGGCGTCCTGCGACTAGTACTTTTTAACCATGCCAATCGAGTCGTTTCCAATTTTTCCTCTGCGTTATCAACTACCCTACAGTTGGTAGCACTTCACGGTTGTCAACAAGGACTTACTCCATCGCTCGGAGGTTGTAAGGTTGCTCTATCTAGTTCAGGCGAAGGTTCAGCGGCGTCCTGCGACTAGTACTTTTTAACCATGCCAATCGAGTCGTTTCCAATTTTTCCTCTGCGTTATCAACTACCCTACAGTTGGTAGCACTTCACGGTTGTCAACAAGGACTTACTCCATCGCTCGGAGGTTGTAAGGTTGCTCTATCTAGTTCAGGCGAAGGTTCAGCGGCGTCCTTTCACTGTGACTAGTGTTGAGCTTGTGATCGGACTAGTGTTTCTTTGCATCTGGCTTGCGAGTCGGGTCGACCTTGAAAATTTCTTTTTGGACAGCACCAATGCCGTCCTCTAGAAGTTCCTGGCTCTTCAACGCACTGTGACTTCATGAAGTGGCGCCGCAACACTTGCCTGGTGGCCTCTCTGCACCAGGCCTGTGATCTCGTGGATCTGGCTGTCAGCTTCACGGCCGAAGATCTCCAGGAGCACAAGGATTGAATCAACCTAGGCCATCCCCCAATCCAAGTTTCGCCCCTTCATGCGCCACCTTGTCATGGAACACGGTTTACCCTTCCGTCTTGACGTGGACTCCAACAATATCGCAACTCGCACGGCAGGTGGTGTGGTCTGCGACGCGATTTCCGCCACTGACGACGAGGGTCACTACCACCTGATCACGACGGAGAGTGGTGTGAGTCATGCTTACATCCTCCAACGACTACCGGGCTTCATGTTTCAACTCTACGACGACAAGGACAAAGTCGACATCCTCGACACGCTCCACCGGTCCGAACACCAGCGCCCCATCCAACTCCAACGTCTTTGCTGCCTTATCATGGGAGCCTGAGGTTTTGGTGAAGCAGATGATGTCGACTATAGACATGG